TGCAGTATAATGTAGCAGAGAACGAACAAAGCCCTGTTGATACCCCTGTCGAGGCCTGGCCTCAGACCGGTCTGCGGGGGCGTTGACCCCCGAAACCCTCTTCAGGTCTCCAGGTAAATGTGCACAAGAAGTGCACTCTCATTAAATGATTCATCAGGAAAGGGGTCAGAAGAAGCAACAGGGCATTGCCCAGAATGGGACGGATAACAGATGAACGAATTTTGGGCTCTGCTGGCACATACCGGGGAAAACTGGGAGAGCAACACTTGGAGCTCTTCCCGATTACCTCTGTGGCCACGAATATTCTATTGTAAATAATTCCATTATTCAAAAAGACAGGTATGCCAACAATAAGAAGCGATGAAATCTATGGGCTACTAGAGTCAGTGAAGTCAATGTGTAGAGGCAACAAAAAGCATGTAAGCAAGGAGGAATAGGAATGCCGTGAAGGAAAATATTGCTGCGAGGGCTGTGAAAAATAAGAAGGGGTAGTAGGAGGCGCATCGGTGTCCATCGAGAATCTCGTCTCCACAATACAGTCGGAGATAACGTTAAGTATCTCAGTGGACAAGGAAGATGCCAATACCTTGAGGTATTAGCAGAGGTGAGGTAGAACAAGTAGAGATGAGGTAGACTATGGAGGGAATCAAAGAGGTCTGAGAGATAAGGGGAGTATAAACCTGGAGAGATGCGCCAGTGGGGACAGAAAAGTCCTGCGTTGGAACAGGAGAGGAAAGAGGTTGATAGTTGCTGGGGAAGAAGTCTAGGGGGGGGGAAGGAATAGAAGAGGGAATCACACGAGAGGAGGGGTGAACCTCCGCCATCGTGCGAGAGTTAGAAAGGGTGCTAGAACTAGGCACTGAGGCCGGAAAGGAAAACTGTTGGGGAATTGTAAGCACTGGAGGAATGTGAAGAGTGGTATGCACGAAGATGCAGGCGTGTGAGGCCTCGCTGACTGAGAAACTAGTGGGCGAGAAGTAGAGACAGTAGTAGTTTAAGAGGCAGTTGTTTCAGAGGGTAAAACTGCAAAAGAATTAGAGATTGTGGCGACACCAGAAGACACAGCACTGGAAAAACTGGTAGGCGGGGGGACCGCCAAGGCTGGAGGTTTCCTAGCTGCTCGAGAATAAAGAACTTGGGAAAGATTCCCCTGAAGGTGGATCCGAGAGACAGCCATAGCATAAGGCCTTCTCTCTCCTTAAGGCAACGGATTTCACGTTCATTAAGATAGACCTGACATCGGCGGAAAAAAGAAGGGCGAGTTTCATTGCAATTAAGAGAAGTGGGGAAAGACTACAAGATGTATAGGCATGATCCGCAGCACCACAGACCGAGTACTCTGCTGCAGACCTGTAGTATTTAGCTAGATGTCCAAAGCATCTACAATTCAACAGTGCTGGGGTGTAGGGACCACTTTACGGACCTCAAGGCGATGTCCCACGATAGAAACAGAGTACAGGAGTTCACGACAGTCAAAAATTAAGCTGGCGATGTTACTGGGAAAGCGCCTTCGCCCAGGAGCAGGCAGGACATATTTATCTACTGAAAGGCTAATGGCTATAAAATATCACGTCAAGACAGAAAATCACTGTACAATGGTACATGGTAAAACCACCGTACTACTGCAAGAAATGAGAGTAGCATGCATGTGAACTGTGATAGGGACGTTATCAATGGAAGACAGGAAAAAGCATGAGCTTGGTTTACGTTCTGAACAGTAACGATGTGCACACCACTCTGGGGCCAATGTGTCATAAAAGAGCTTTACTGATACTGTGGTCCGAAAGCTAATCAGTTGGAGACGTCGGATACAAGGAAAAGAATTTGGTCCACTGTGTGCTTGAAAACATGGTGTGTAAAGGAAGTGGGTGTCGTGTAGGTAGTTCCTGGGGGGAACGAGTAGAAATCAAAGAACCATTGTCAGCAAAGGGTCTGGAACGTTTAGGCATAGGACCACGGGCGGCCCGACCTGAGGCAGGTGGGCAATCCGAAAACCATTGCACCATATGTGGGGAAGCCAGACGCTTAGTTAAAGACCTGCAAGTGGCAGAGGCAGTAGAAGAAATGGGTGGAGCGTCAGCACCTGGAGCAAATGATGAGTCACCAGCAGAAGGTACAAGAGTATGGGAAAAGTCTGGAGAATGGTCCAATAAGAAAGCACGGTCAGAACAGGATGCAGTAACAAAAAGGGGCCTGGGAGGAGAAGGGGGGTCATGGAACGAAGATTCCATGATGGTGGCACTTCTTTATTATTTTCAGAAAAAAAGAAAGATGGATAAAAAGGGACAGTGAAGGACAGTTACTAGAAGACATGGAATGGGTGTAAGTTCCTCCCTTCATCCAAAAGGACCTTGAAACCGCCAGTAGCGCAGATGCAGCATGGAACCCGTGCCATACCGTACCCTTCACACCAGTAAACCAGCGCTCTATGATAGCAACCTCACATCCACTGAACCACCTCGGCAGACAAAAGAGAGGGTAGTTGGACAACCGCCACAAAGCATAACTCCCTCGACTGCCACCTCCCAGAACCGACAGGCAGCCTCTGGAGATGCACCCGCCACCTGCAGGACACCCTGCCCAACCTCTCAGAAATCCGGGAAGGGAGCAGGGCACCTCCAGATGATCCAGATCCCACGGCAAACTACACTGCTCCCTAGGGATCCCACGGAGTGGGATGAACCCCAGCCCACTTCCTCCTACCTAGAAACCGTAATGCCGGAGAGGAGGACCCCAGAGGCTACAAACAGGATGGGGAAAAGGGAGGGTTGGGAGGGGGGTAGGAAAGGGGACAAAACCGGGGAATGGGGAGGATGGGATAGGGAAGGGGGGACTGGGGGGTAATTTGGTTTGGTCTGAGGAAGGAGACCAAAAGGTCTAATTCCTCAGACCAAGAGCCTCTTTACCGCGCCAAGGAGCCCCCCTTGAAGAGGTGTAATGAAAAAAAAAATCTTTCCAGATGAGGCTGGTGTGGTCGTCGATTTCATTTTATTTTTCAAAGGTGAGAGTGTCTAGATTTTCTGGTAGAGTTGCAGCAGGTGTGGAAGTGCCTTGGGCAGCTGATGGATCAAGAATCCATTGGGTGGCTGTGGTAGGAGCATCTGATGATGCCTAATACGCTGGAGCAAATTTTCAATATAATTGCTGATGGTGAGGTGTCAGGAAAACTGAATTCGGGAAAGTTATTGAGGCGGAAGAATTCATTTATTGTGGAGTTGAAGTTTCCAGGGCTGGCTGCTATCATGAGAGCATACATCATACAGTACATGATGCTGGGAGTGTTGAAATAATGTTGGCAGTATAAGTAGGTTGCAGTGTAATTCGATGTCTCAAGTTCTTTTCCCATTTGCAATTAATTTCCTTCCTTTAAGGACACTTTGCTGCAAGAGTGATAATTCTTGCAGATGAGACGTTTAGGTTGGGAGGCCGAGGTGCAGTTCTTATAAGTGTGTCCTTCAGTGGCGTATTTGGAACAGTATTTCCTTTCCTTCAAAGGGATTAATGTAGTAATATGAGACGCGCAGACCTTCATTCAGTACCTGGGATGCCGAGGAGATTTTGACGAAGGTGGCCTTCATGAAAGAGCTGGCAGTTAGAATTTTCATGATGGAGTCGACGGTGGTCCAATCATTTTGATCTTTAGTAAGTTGTTTCAAGTCGTTTGTTGATTGGCTTGTGACGTCACAATCAAGCTTCTTTCAGGACACCGATATCTTTGCGCCCAGTGCAGAGTAAGTCGCCACTTTGAAGTCACGGTCCTTAAGAGGGTTCATACTCGAGGTGATAATCTTGTTGGTTTCGTCATGGCGCTTATAAACTAAATAATATAGATCTAATCACCCTGAATGCGATAAAGATTTGGGAGTTCTGGTTAGCAGTAACATAAAACAAAAACAACAGTGGAATAGAAAAAACGAATAAAACGAATAGAATTCTTGGCTTAAAATCAAGAAGTATAAATAACAGTAGTCCTCAGGTTATTCTTCACCTATATATCGTTGGTTAGGCCTCATTTAGGTTATGCTGCGCAGTTCTGGTCAACGTATTACAGAATGGATATAAATTCGCTGGAAAACGTACAGAGAAAGAAGACTAAGTTGATCCCAAGATGGGTAAGACACACATGCAATAGCTTGTTATCTTTATTGTTGAAACGTTTCGCCTACATGGTAGACTTCATCAGTCAAATTCAGAAGAGAATGCATTGTAGGCAGTAGTACCAGTGGCGAGGTAAAAAAAAATATGTAATCGGTCCATCAACCTTGAAGAAATAGTTTGAGGTGATCAGTTTATATATCTCGTCAATACCAAGGGCTGAAGGTCAATGAGAGATAATCGGAGCACCTGTTAAATACTTTTAATTGAGTACGATTACAAACAGTCCAGCTGTTCATCATTACACAGTTGTCATTCGTCTCAAGGAGCAAAGCGGACAATCGAGGCCCAGTTCCTCACCAGTCAGCTTTACTGGTCAGGAACCTGACAGTCAGCCTGACTGGTCTGAGACCGGGCTGGAGTTTACTTGGAGAGGTTTGCGGGGGTCAACGCCCCCGCGGCCCGGTCCGAGACCAGGCCTCGTGGTGGATCACGGTCTGATCAACCAGGCTGTTACTACTGGCTGCACGTAAACCGACGTACGGCTGATCAGGTACTGACTTTAGGTGCCTGTCCAGCGCCTTCTTGAAGACAGACAGGGATCTATTGGTAATCCCCCTTATGTATGCTGGGGGGCAGTTGAACAGTCTTGGGCCCCTGACACACTGTGTTGTCTCATAGTGTACTCGTGGCGCCCCTGCATTTTTATTAAGGGAATGTTGCATCTCCTGCAATTAACTGCCGAAGGATCGAGATACCAACACTCCTCGAGCTGAATGACCCACATTAGTTTAGCGCTTCACGAGATATAATGTACATCATCATTAAATCATAAAAATCAAGGAGTAACCTTAGCGTGTAGATTCTGTAAACAAGTGTAAAAAATAATCGAAGTTAATATCCATGAGAGGTTATTAAGCTATTTAACGTACATGTTTGTTCAAGTGTTGCACATCAAAATGTATTCAGATGTAACCAAATAAATATGGAAACATTCGTAATAATAATGGAAAAAAAAAAGAAAAACAATAATCATAATAAAATGCATGGTCATATGTTCCCAAGGTGAAATATCAGAGCGTATCTCTTATAGATACCAGCCACAGATAACGACCCTTGGCTCAAGGAAAGAGCAATGAATACCCATATTAAACATTTGGAGGTGGAGATACACCTCGCCATCGTCCCTGTGTTTACATATACCACAGAAGCAGAAGTCGTCACGTGAACGATGGGTGTGACCGTAGTGGAGAAGATTGGGTACTTTTTCTATGTTATCAGTCCCAACTCCACCACCTTCGAACGAGAAGATCAGATTCCCAACTTTATCAATGATGTGAGTATTGATGCATTTGGAATTGTTGGGCAAGATTTCAGAGAAGTTTTAATCCTGCAAGAGTAAGTGTTCAAAGTATATCATGCTGCCGAATAAGGTTAATAAAGTGTAAAATCGCCAATGAGTTTTTTTCAGGGTGAGTAAATTTTTTTATTTTATTATAGGCGAGTTACATAAAAAAGGGTACATTATTCTGACAATTATATAAATGCCAAGAGGTATCTATTTAGGTATTTTTAAGAGCGGAAACCTTGAACAAAGAACCCTAACACTTAAAGGTTTTAATATGACAGCAGTGCATTTTCTCAATGACTTTAAACTTACAGCCATTTAGGCCACAGCTTTAATCTATAGCCTGCGACATACTAAAAATAAGCTTAATTCAGATATTTAATATAGCTTTTTACATAGCAGTGCTCTAGCAGATCCCCCGGCATACCAGGCTGAAGATGAGTCTCCTGATTGTTAGCATTCAACATGAACTCAACGGATATTGCCCACCAGGTTTCAAAGAATGCTTAATCTTACATCTTTATAGGTCGCTTATAGGTCGCTCAAATACAACTTACCGATGTACAGTTCCTAGGCCTTCTGTGGGTGTAAAGATTCAAGTAACAGGCTTCTCGAGTGTGTTTATCTAATACTCCTGAGCTTCCTGAAATTGTTGATTTCCAGCTAATGAACCTCTTATAATAAACTGAGTTATCGTTCTTATGTGTCTCGAGTTGACCTGCAATTTCTATGCTTATTGAGGATTTTGAGGTACAGCTGCTAGGTTCTTGGGTGTGTTAACATACAAGGGATGGGCTGGGGTTGTGGGATGCAGGGAATGCTTCTCTAGGATCTTGCATCTACCTGAACAAGTTTAATTACATTTGTGAATTACTGTATGCGTGAAAGAAGAGAAATCGTATTGCTTGTCTAACTCTCCAGTGTGGTCGTTACGACCACACTAGAGGGTCAGATTATTCTTTTGTGTGTTTATTTGCAGGCTATGTTAATGTTAACTTAAACTTTAGTGCTAGCAATGCGGCCAATAATCAGAAGTTAACTGCTGTGGAGCTTCTAATTTTTAAAGTGTCGAAACAGCTTATGATTTAGACATCTAATAATGTACAATGCCCCCACCCCAGAGTAGCCCATCTACAACGCTTCTGTTCCGATCTGCACTTCGGGTCTTACCTCAAAATATAACCCATTCCACACATTCCTCAGCTTGAATGTCGAAATAATATTCCCGGGCCTCTTAAGCTCATACGAAAACGTTGGAGGTGGAGATTCACACATTTCTTCCCGAAACCCAGCAACTTCCTTATCTTAATTAAATTTATTTTGGTAGCTTAGCAAGTCGAGAGAAGTATCTCCAGCATCACATAATCCTAGCCTAATTTACTTCAGTCCACGCAAGAGGCCTGGTAGCTATACCCCAAAACCCTGAGGAGCCAGAGGAATTGTAGCTCAATTTAGAGAATTTGTCACTTGCTGACCAGTTCCATAGCGTTTATTAGCAACTATGATGAACAACGTCTTTTGAACATATCTCTGACGTATCCTGACAAGTTTTGCCAATTTGCTGTAACCTATCTGCTTCCGACACCTTATCTTCATTTTCTATTAGGTTAAATTCCTAGGCAACTCATCAACGGCCGCCTCGACAGAGTTAGCTAATTCTACCACTCCTGCCCCAGAGAGATGTACAGTATTGTATGATTTTTTAAATGCTAGTGAAAGTCTCTTCGTTCATGGAACTAGCCATGTCCTTTTCTTCCTTGTATCAAATCTGAAGGTCTTCCATTCAACAAACGTTATATTAACCTTAGTGATTTGGCTCTTTCCACAGAATACATAATAATAATTCAGAACGGCATCAGTATATGAAAACTGATTCATCTTATGAAATGAATGAAACAATTTTTTTGAGATTAGGCTGTGAAAGTACAAATTTTGTTGGATTCTGTGCAATAACTCATTATATGTTGTTGTAATCTTAGTTCAAGACTTTTTCCAGTTAGCTCGTAATAAAGTTCATCTCATTTTTTACCCGTCAGCAATACTGGGAAATTTTTTTTAATTTTTAATTTACTGTATCAAGATTTTTAAATACAACTTTGGTATTAAAATTCGTACTTAGAGAAGGTATATCAAGAATGTTTTCATCGTAAGGGAGAACCAACAAATCTTTAGATGAATAAGGTTGTTCTTTTTTTGAATTGTAAAAAGTATTTCTAGCAATTTTAAGAGATTTATCAATTAAGTGTTTTGTATATTTTAGATCATTAGCTATTTAAAAAATCTACAAGATTTCTTCATTTATGAACTCTGGGCTGCAAACACGCAAAACTCTCAAAAACATTGACGAGAATACAGAAAGTTTAACTCTATCCTGATATGAAGAACAATAATAGTGGACATAAGAACATTCATTTGTTGGTTTCCTCTAAATTTTAAATTTAAAACCGTGGTTCCCTTTTTTTAAAACTTCTAGAAAAAGCAATGAGTTATTTTGTTCAAACTCAACAGTAAAATTCATGGAAGGAGCTAAACTATTTCAGTGGTACATATCTGTACCACTGAGCACTATTTGGAAAAATTTTGTTAAGCAATCTAGCTTCAAAATGGTGAGAGGATTTTCCACTGCCATGCCAAACTTCCGAGTGTAAATCTCACCATTTAACAGAAACTTTGCATCAACAATAAAAAGTTCAATAAGCTCAGTGATAGTAGGTACTGGTAATGGTAAATCGTAATTAACAAGATCTTCAGATAAGAAACCTAATAATTCATCAACTGGAATTTTGGTATAACATCAAATCTAATCATATTGCAGCCTAAATTTATCCCCTAAATCTATTTTGTTTTTAACATTGTAGATAGAAATTTTTCCAGCAATTGGGCTCAACAAATGTAACAACCATTTAGATAATTTATAGGAAACTGAACCTATGGAGCTAATAATAGGTCTGGCTGGATTACCTGATTTGTGTGTGTATTAATCCATTCATATGCGGTAAAAATGGGTTAGCGGTCATGAATTTTTTAATTCATCTTTGCCTTTCAGAAGCCGTTTTATTTGGACAGGTCCTGGTGTGCGTGACTAAGCTAATTTCATTCTTATCCCCACTTCGTGTACTATCCTCCACAAGCAATATATATATTTTATTATGATCACGAGCAAGTGATATTGAATCAGTAACACTACGACTAGCCGAGGTTTCGAACCTATGTTGTTTTGGCCCCTGCCTTTTGGCGAGCGAAAATCACATGACGTCTTAGCCCACAGGACCACACAATCCTACAAAAATCAAGCTAGGTGTGTTACTCTTGGTCCTTGTAGGATTGTGTGGTCCTGTGGGCTAAGGCGTCATGTGCATTTCGCTCACCACAAGGCAGGGGCCAAAACGACATGGGTTCGAATCCATAGCAAGTCGCAGTGTTATTGATTCAATACCACTTGCTCGTGGTAGAGTGTGCTCTTTGTCCGTTTGAATGTCATGTTCTGAGGTACCCGAATGTTCTACCGAGGAATTCTGAAGTACTTTGAGTTGTATACTGCATTCCTTTCAGGTTTCAAGAGGGAAGATTCCAGTATGGCATATTGACAGACTCCGAGAAGAATAGTAGACAATATTTAAGAAGAGATACTTCGGAGTACTTCAGAGTACCTCGGTAGGACATTCGAGTACCCCAGAGCAGGACATTTAAACGGACAAAGAACACATTCTATTCCTTACTTTTATTACTTAAAAAGGTTACACTGAATAATAGCAATCCATTTGTTTAGTATCCAACGAGAAACGTATTTTCTCAAGCCACATCACCAGTTATAAACGACTAGAAAAAGCTTGGGCTGGCTATTATGTATTATAATTTCATACTTGACATCTCAGAAACCCTCCTACTTCATATGGGTAGTACAGGTGGGGTTGGCACTGACAACTAACTACATTCTATGGGTAACCGTGTGCCTTAGCGCTTCTTTTTGATTATAATAATAATATGGGTAACCGTGGCTGGCGACACATCCGCACTACGCTACTTTGAGAGCTCTCTCCCTGCTTTAGTTGCTCTTGCAACATTGCACAGGTCCTGATGATGCAATGAGAAGTGTGAAAGTACTTGAACTAAAGATTTCCACCCCCTGTGGGTTATCTTGCGTGCACACACACACACACACACGTTTTATATATATATATATATATATATATATATATATATATATATATATATATATATATATATATATATATATATATATATATATATATAATATATGTCGTGCCGAGTAGGCAGAATTTGCGATCTTGGCTTAAATAGCAACGCTCATTTTTGCCATATAGGACAAGTGAAAATTTGTGTATGCAATAATTTCGCCAAAATCATTCTGAACGTAAAAAAAAAATATATATTTGATTGTGTTTGTTTAGTACTAAATTACTGTCAACGTATTTAAAATATATTTAGTTGGGTTAGGCTAAAGTAAATTGCACTTGTTAAAATAAGGTTAGGTAAGCTTTCTAAGATTCTTTTGGTTCAAAATTACAATTTTTTACATTAACATTAATAAAAAAAATGTATCTTCAAACGTATAAGAGAAAATTTCAGAAAGGACTTAATTTTAAATGAGTTCTTGCTAATTGACCAGTTTTACATATTCGGCACGACATATATATATATATATATATATATATATATATATATATATATATATATATATATATATATATATATATATATATATATATATAATATAATATAATGTAATAAGGTCACAGTAAACTGGTGATTTTAAAATATGCAAAACAACCACTGTGAAATAGTAGTAAAATTCCAAGCGCTTTCGTAACTACTCACATTGTCAAGGAACTATGACAGTAATACATCAAAGGAAGGCAATTAAAGGGCCACAATACCGGACTCATAAGAAAAGAGGAACACTGCAGTAGGTCCGCTGGTCCAACTAGACAGGTCCTCACGACATCCCACTAACTAAATATTCTACC